TGCGTCAGATCTTCAATTGATTCATTCACATAATATTATTCATTGCGATTTACATAGTGACAATATATTTCAAGATAGTATATCTAGTGCTTATATTGGTGATTTAGGATTTGCAACATCGTTAAACAAAACGTTAAAATCAGAATCTGGAGGAATTTATGGAGCTTTACCTTATATAGCACCTGAAGTTTTACAAGGAAATTTATTCACCAAAGCATCCGATATCTATTCTTTTGGGATGATTATGTGGGAAATTTCTTCAGGAAAAGTTGTATTTTCTGATTATGAACGTGATCATTTATTAGCTATAGACATTTGTGAAGGAGTAAGACCAGAAATTTGCAAGGGTACATCGGTACATTTTGCAAATCTTTTAAAGAGATGTTGGGATAAAGATCCAGAAAAGAGACCGTCAGCATTAGAAATTCAAGAAACTATTAGGGGCTGGAGAAATAATTCAGACATTCTATCTAAATTTTTAAAATAGGATGAAGAAAGTGTGGTAAAGGACAAGGAGGATAATGCACTTAACGTTAGTATTGACAGTAATTCAATTTCTAGAAGCCAATTTATTAAGTATCTTAATTATAGTCAGCTCTCCCAAAAATGATCCTGTCAAACGATGGGTTGTCATAAGCGATCAAAAGTTGATATACCGTGCTTGTTCTATAATTCAAATCCGATAATACTCAAGAGACGGGTCAATTTTAATTTTTATCCGTGGTTTGATGTTGCTAATCGACGTGCGATATACCAAATTATATCACATATTTGCTTCCTTTCTTAATTTTTTTATTTTTTTTAAGAATATATTTTTAAACTTTATTATTAGCATTAATAACAAATCACATTTATAAGAAAGTCTGTATTAAATCTAATTATCCATTACCGATGCAAGACTTTGAATATTTAAACTTGCAACTAGCCGAACGCAATCTTTGAAATCTGAAAAAATAAGTTCAGTAGATTTCAAATTTAAAGACCGAAATTTAATTTTCCCTTGGATTACTAATATGCATAAAAAGCGAATCATTATACGTAGTCAAATTTGTCAAACAATGTGCTACAATATATTATTTTAAAGGAATTTTAAAGTTGATGGCAGCAATATAATTTCATTTATTTTGATTAAAGGGACCTCAGGGTAATGGCAAGTTTTATAAGCTATATTGCCTCCGTAACTTTTTATTAATGCCAAACTAAATTTAGGCAGTGTCATTAGGGATGAAAAAAAAAACATTAAACTGTTTTTTTTGGGTTTATTAAACCATTTTTAAAAAAAAACTTTTAAACATTAACGCTAAAACCAGAATTCGGTCGAAGCTACTGTATGTCAATTTCTGCAACGCTTGTAGAATTTTTTTCAGTGAGGCCTCCCATGAAGCATAATTTTTAAAACATAAATTTTTTGAAAATAAAGAAATTTTATGCTATATTTTAATGAAACTATTTAATAAATAAATAAATAACGATAAATATTTGGCACTATACAGTAATACGTCAAAAAACTGGTTTAAATTAATCAATCATGATTTTTAAGATCATGGTTTAAATCATTTTCCATCCCTAATACGTACTAACGCTAAGTGTTTGTTACACGCTGTGAAAATGGAAATGATCCTGAAATATGAATTTTTGAAATTATAAATGTCAACCAGATCGATTAAAAAGCAATATAAGCCTTGATTATTGCTAATCATTTTAAAATTTAATAATGACAATTAAATAACATAATGTTACTCACATTACAATGATATATAAATGGACAAAGTAACTAGCTTAATTAAGGCTTCATCTATCATCAATTCTATTAATACGTAAAACTTGAGAAAACGCGATTTTACAGTTTTGAGTATTTCTATTTTTATTTTTATCTTTTTTTTTTACAAAATTTCGATTTATCAATTATTATTTATTCTATTTTGTCTATTTTGTCTTTATTAATGATAATTAACTGAATAATAAATAATCCTATTCAGATCACTGGATAATTCCTTTTCTCGTATCAAATTTTAGTCTTACGTATTAACATAATCCATTTTGACTTGGCGAGATCATATTGTGCTATTATTATCTAGATTAATAATTTTAAAATTTAATAATTTTAGAAAAAACACAAATATTTTTGAAATTATATACAATAAATGTGTAGCTAAAGTTGAATAAAAATTGAAAATTTGGGAATTTTTTTTTAAAAAAATCTATTTTTTAAAGCCTAGGTTAGAAATTTATAAGTGAGTAAATGGATATTAGCAGGTTTATTAAATTTAAATTGAAATTATCTTGACCTTAACCAATTCCAACCTCAGTTACCACAACAAATATTTTTTATACAATAAACAAAAACTATAAAAAAAAAAGAGGATTGAGAAATAAGACTGTAGGTTAGAAATTTTCTTCGACAGAATAATATTAACTTTATGAAACAGATCCTGTCAAATCTAAGCCTATAATTCGAATTTATCAAATATTACGTAAAAAAATGACAAAAATTAATATATTTATTCACTTTAATTTTTATCAAAGCTATCGATTGCTATTATTTTTTAAATGCGAAATTGCTTGTCGACCAATACAATTTTTCATTCTATATTAGTTTTACATTTGTTGGTATTGAAGTCCAAGGTTTACAATATTACTACTATGTAATGTTTTTTCGAATGAATTATTTGAATGACAGAATTCTATTTTTTGTAAATCTTATATATTTCTTTTACATTTTTTTAATTAATGACCTTTTTTAATTGGTCAAATTAAATCAACACAGTCTTCTTCACAATAATTATATTTTTGGAGAGGTGTTGTTTGATCATGTTTATCAGATTCTGCAACTTTTGTAAGGTTTAAACAGACTTCTTTTGACAAGGATCTTTCATGAATATGAGACATTGCTAGTGCTCGGCAAAATCAAACAAAAACTCGATTATCGAGTTTTTGAATCTATCGATTTATAGTATTGTGCTTCAAT